TAAAAATAAATACTTTACTCGGCGGCATCCAGCAATGCACAGGAACAGCCTTCGGGTCTGATCGTGTCACCTGACATGCCGCGCAGGTGCTAACGAGCTGTGCAATATCGTAGTCAATTCGGTTCCACCAGCAATATGCTCGTGCAAGCGCTTTCAACCAGTACTCTAACTTCGTCATCAGCTCTCGTGTGCGTACTTAACTTCTCCACTGTCAACGAGAGATTTTGGATAATCTCGGTTTCAATAACATCCACTTCTTCGATTTGGTTATACAAGTCGGTAGTCGGCAAACGCGACCTAGCATCAGCATTTGCGTTCTCTTTACTTTTCTTTACTCGAATTTCGTATTTAGATGTTTCTAAAAATATGGCGTAGTGCTGCATGCGTGTGGCTGATAGTGTAGGTAAACCCTTCTGCCGCGAAAAAATTTGCGCAATTGCTTTATTGTCAGTCACCAGTATAAATTTGTTTCCGAAAAGAAATTTATAAAATTTACGTCCGCCGAAAATAATCGCGTATGCTTCTCTATCCACTTCGCTGTACCTTTGCTGAACTTTGTTTAATGTTTGCTAGGCAAATTGAATCGGTTTCTGTGTTCCATTTGCATACAAATGGATCCCTTTATTCGTGTTGATTGTGAGCAAATACCTGTCATCCGGGTGTACTTCCAACTGTAGGCACGCTTTAGAGAGGTCAATCTTAGTGAACTGAACGCCTCCTGCCATCGTGCTGAAAAGTTCGTCGATGGTCGGCAGCGGATGCTCATCGACCACTAACTCTGGATTTAGCGTGACTTTATAGCCACCACATATCCGCACGGCACCCCCGCTCTGTCCGACCTGTCCACTCTCACTAACAGCCCCTCATCAACCTGGCTTTGCAGTTCGCGCTCAACTGCGACTCGCCTTGTTTTCAAAAATTTCGACACTGCCTTCTCCTTTAGATATAAGCTCGCTTGGTAGCCCGTTATTTTTCCAACAGTGGGTGAAAACAAATTCGGGTAACTCTTTAAGATTTGCTCCAAATTTTCGTCTGAAGTTGTCGTACCTATGGCGGTAACACTGTAATCCTCCCTAAGTTGGGTCTGTAGTAATATAGACCAGTTTAAATTTATGGAGCGCATCCACTCTCTGCCGAGCAAAGGCTTGCGATTAAATCGTACGATATACATTTTTACCTTAGCTGGTGGGTTTGCCATCGCTGTTACCCAAATATAACCGAGACACTCTGGCGGTGTGTTGCAATAGCTGTACGTCAGTCGGAATGACGAGCAATTTCGCAAAATGCTTCTTTGCATCTGCTAAGCTTATAATCGTGACAGGCGTTCCAGTGTCTATTTCGAACTCTATCAATGTATTGTTTACCGGCAGCTTGCAAGTAAGCTTTGCGCGATTCTTTGCGCCTCCGGTAACTGCTGCTATCGAACGCGATGCGTCCTCGATCTGGAATGACTCCTCCACTGCACAATCATACACATACAATCATACAATTACACATTTTCCATAAGTGTCCATCCTTTTTACAGAAATGACAAGTTGTCTCTTTGGGAGAGCATTGAAATGCCAAATGTTCAGCGCTGCCACATCGGTAACCTTTTGTTCCTTTATTTTCAGAAGCTGTGTTTAGTATTAGTTTTTTTGTTCTCTTATCTTTCTTTTTGTGATGCACTTTGTTGACAGTTTCTACACCCGCTACTCCCCCGCTTTGGTGTAGCTCTTATCCTTCTTTTTCTGCAATTTCATAGGCTTTGGCTATATTGACTGCATCCAGTAAAGTGAGATCTTTCTTTTCAAGCAAGCATTCTTTGACTTCTAAGTCCAAATACGAATTGATTGCGAAGCGCTGTGTCGGAGTAATTTCCAAAGTTACATCCTGCAGCTATACGGCGAAGTGCAACCAAAAATTCACTGCAAGATTCCTCCGATTTTTGTTTGCGAAGATGAAATCGGTAATTCTCAAGAATTTCGTTACCTTTCGGGTTAAAGTTGTCTTCTAAACCTGGACAATGTTTTCATATGATATGTCCTACGGAACTATGGGTAGAACCTTGTCGCAGAAAAAATCATAGGTCGCCGTTCCCATGTAGTGTAACAATAGCTGGCGCTTCTTAGTTGAATCTGCATTGAAAATCAATAACGCTGTCTCGAATCGTTTTACCTAACGACTCCACGTTGTCTTTTTCACATCGAACGCATCAAAGTGGAATGCAGCTATTGGAGTCACTATATGAGGCTGCGCTTCTCCGGCACCCGCTTCTGCTCCAGTTCTCGATTCACGTTCATTAAGGGACAGCGCTCCTACTTAACCTCAGATTTTTAAGATGTTTCTTTTTTTCATTCGACGCCAGAATTGTGGTAACCAACCACATTAAAAAATAGTTATTCGCAGACTATGGTTTTATTTCATGTTTTGTTTTGTTAGACATTTGGTCTATGACATATTTATTTTAACACATAAATAACGAATAAGTTAACATTGTCAAAAAAAGCAAAAACAATTCAAAGGTGCTCTAAATACAGGTCAAACAGGTTAATAGTACACTGGGTTGCATAATTTTAAGATCGAAAAATATTACCGTTGGTTTTTGACATTTTTTTATTGACTGTGTTGTTCAATTTCTCCCATATAAAAAAAAAATTCGAAGATACTTTGTATGGAAGAAAATGTGTGACACCGTAAAAATAATGCCAAAAATCGACGTTGTTTTGTAGCCATATCAAACTCTCACTTTATTATACTAAATAAAATTGCATGGGCTATAAAACTGCATACGCAAAACTTAAATTCTTAAAAAAAGTGTAAATTGTTGTTAAAAATTCGCCGATTTTTTTATAATTTTTGCAAATTTAAATTAAATAATATAAAAGTAAAAAGTCGTAACTTGTTAATATGTGGCGCACTTTGAATTATGCAGCGCAGTGAAGTAATGCCATTACTAATGGGCAAAGAAAAATAGCTTTATCTTAATCACGTTATTAGCTAATTGAGGGATTCACAACGGTGTCGTAAGGATCGTATTGTTGTATGTCGTAAACTTTAAAAGCTTAAATAAATGTTTAGAGAACTTGAAACCACAACCGACTATTTTTAAACACTGCCAAAAATGCATAATATGACTTTGGTGGTACTTTGCGAATCCCCTTCATAAATTGTTTGGCATTCAAAGTTTACAACGTACAACAACACGACACTTACGATACCCGAAATATATACATTGTCAATGGAGACAGCTGCTATCTTGATAAACATAGCCTGTCTTAACATTTCTATATATAAGGTTGTCAAGAATGTCCGAAAGCTAACTTTGCTATTAACAATTGAACTTTTTGAAGATGATTTGCATAGTGAAGACCAGTAATTTAGTGATTTAAAATTAGACCATCGTATTCCTTGTTTAATTCGCTATAAAAAACATGTTAAAAAAAATTCCTCGAACACGTGTTACCTCTTTTTCATGTATCGAACCCATAAAAAAATTTGAAGCCAATCGAAAGTGTGACACCGAGTTTGGTGTCCGATATGAAAATAAATGTCTTATATACATCATATTTTCGATAGCCCTGATAGTTCTGAGCAATTAATTAATAATTTCTGACAGCTCTTGTTTTTGTTGCAAACACTCTACCTACTCAGGTGTACGTGGCGCATGAGTAACACTCCTTTCTGCTCATATTTCATAAAAAAAAAATCCTTCCGCATTTTCATTTGACCAATCATTATTTTCTTATTTATCCATCGATTCGCTTCATTGGTAACCTAATTTTTTCCTAAAGGAACAGGCTTTAAAACAAGTGCAAAGTTTGAATATTTTGCATTTTTCCATAAAAAAAAAA